ATTTAAAGCTAAAGATTTCTTTATTAAAAAAGGTTATGTCCTTATTGAAAAAAAAAATATTTCTAACCGTCTTTGTTGACTTTGCAAACATTGAAAGGTTGTTGTATACTTGATAATATTGAAAGAAACCTTCACCAGGTAACTCTTTTCCTGACTTTACGTTGTGGGATTTCTATTATTATTACTTGTTTGTGAAACTCCTGATCCCCTGAACATAGTAGAATTGTATATTTCTTTCTAGCGATTGAGAAATTTAGGAATACCTATGTCGGAGTTAATCCATAAACCACAACCTTTCTACTTGTTAAGGCAACATCTAAAAATAACTTTACAATAGTTTAAAAAAATAGCTTAACTTTCTAGCTTTTTGAGCCACACATTTATTTATCAAAATTTTAAAATCAATTAGTTCCAATATTTTTTTTAGCAAGATATATTTATATTAATAGAGAATATTAGAGTTACTTTAACTCCCGATACAAAAAAGCCGTTCTATAAAAACAGAGAGAGAAATAATCCAAACCAACTAGAACTAAGACAGACAAGTCAGAGGTACTTGACAGAATTCGAAAAAATTATAGTTGGAATAAGAATTATCTCCAATAAACGATCATTTCCAAGTCGTCAACTTAATATCCCAAATTAAATTCGAAATGTTATAGGAAGCACCCTTGGATAAAATTGTGTTTCTTAATTTCCAGATATTCCATACCACCGTCATCCAAGTAATATCGACATTACCTTTCTTCAAACCCATGAACCTCTTTTCCCCTATCTAATTCATAAAACTCTTTCACACGGCTTCCACATTAACCCACTCAATCCTAAGCCATTTAACCACAATATTCCAAACAAGATAAGCCACACCGCAATCGAAGAAGAGATGACTCAAGTCTTCGTCGACCAAAAATCACAAAATACAAGGACGATCATTAGGAGAATGTAAAATACATCTTTTAATGAGTTGATCCTTAGTCGGGATTTTATTGATGAAACACCTCCAAATAAACGAACGAACTCGAAAAAGAGAATTGAATGACCAAAGTTCACCAAGGGCCTTCGGCAAACAAGGATCAACCACGTAAACTGAGCCTTTCCTTTTCTAATACCTGGAACCACGATTTAATTGAAAACCCATCCTTCATCTCCGGTTTCCACATAGCCTTATCCGCGATTCCCAAATTCGGACAAAAAATACCCAGCACGCGCTGCAACGAGTTAAGACAGCCCGACGTAACCTCCCCTTCATGCACAAGCAGACCAAAATTCCCCCATACCGAACCCCAATCAACCCAATCTCCCGTGTCACAAACAAAAGCGTCATTCAAAGCAATATCATGGAATAAATCAGGAAAACAGTCCTTCAAAGGATCTTCACTCGTCCACCAATCTAGCCAAAGGTGCACTCATGGCGAGTCTCGTCGACTACTGATAATTATGGTGGAATAGGAGTGGATATCTCAATTTTCTCTAATTTTTGCCTCATCTTCACATTAGATGTAGGCCAAGTCCAAAATGCAAATGTTTAAATGAAGTCTTTTATGTTAAAAATTAAATTTTATATATTTAATTAATAAAATAAAATAGCAAAAAAAATATTATATTATAAATTAGAAAAAAAGACAAACACAATTGTGTTTTGTTTATTTTAATTATGGTTTAATATCTTTTTTGATCTCGTATGTTAATCTTGAGGATTATTTTGGTCTCTTAACTTAAAAAAAGTTCCACATTGGTCCATAAGCTCTTTAAAACGTACTATGTAGTCTATGTTAGTCATTTTCGTCTAATTAATGATGAATTTAGCAAATGTTTTTTGAGTTTTTCCGTCGTTAATAAGGCGAAAAAGAATAAAATGAAATACTGTAAAGAATTAAGAGACTAATATGAACCTTTTTTAAACTAAGGGACCAAAAAGAATATTAAATCTTTAATATTTATTAAATAAGTTTAAACTATATATATATATATATATATATATATATATATATATTCCTTGGTTTTAAATTTGAACAATGAGGGAAAAAAGGTCATACAATGTTCCTTGGTTTTAAATTTGAAGGCTCGGCTATGGCTATAAATTTAAAGGAACATTGTATGACCTTTTTTCCCTCGTTGAGATTCCTATTAGCCATAGCCGAGCCTTCAAATTTATAGCTTCGTGTTTTCTCACCCATCATAATTCCTTGTCATACCTCCTCCCTTCTTATTTCTACAAAATTTTCAAGAAGAGTTGGAAATTGTATTCCTAAATCTCTACCTCTTACCTAATCAAGGTCTTTATTTAACCTAGCGAGAAACATCAAGAAACGATCATTTTATTGCCTCTTGAGAAACACAACACTACCTTCTATACACCTCTAATTGTCATCATAACAGAGATCCAAATCTTGCCACAGGGTCTACAACACATCGTAGTAAGCATATACGCTCTTGATACACTCTTGTCATATTTTTTTCAAGCCATAACTTTAATTTCAACCCAAGAATGTGGGAGGAGTTTTGAATATTAGAGTATGTTTCCTTAACATCTTCCCACACATCCTTTGTAGAAAAAAACTTACGAAGATAGGAGGGGGAGAGATGGATCTGGAACCTTAGGTGGAGGAGACAATTTCTATTTGACTACAAGTTAACTCTTTTTAGCGACCTTCATTCTGTGGTTAGAGACTTTACCCCTTCTTTTGAGAGTGATGTTTGGAGGGGGCACAAGTCTAGTGATGGTGGTTATTCTATGTCATCTGCCTATTCTAATCTTTTGGTGCACGGGCCCCCTCCCAAGTCTCCAAGTTACTCATGTAGAGTCAGCCCTTCTGCCTATCTAGTGTAGCATGACTCCCTCTAAAGTTGTAGTTTTATTTTGGAAACCTCTCCTAGATCGTATTTCAATCAGAGATAACCTACTTAAGAGGGGAGTTCCTTTGACCCATAGGACTATTTATTGTCCTTTTTGTTCATTGCTCGTAAAGTAGCCTTCTCATCTCTTTGTAACCAATGAGATTGCATCCTCTGCTTAATATAGGATTTTTAGGTAGTTAGGGATAATGTGTTGTTTTGGCTAGATATATCTTGACCCTTTTCCTGATGTTTTTTCCTACGAGTGATGGTTCTAGGACTTGAGAGGGGGGGTTAAGGGTGATTTGGCATGTCATGGTTTGAACGATTTGGAAAACTATGAATGATATAGTTTTCCTGGGTTCATTAGTGACATCTAAAAATGAGGAAGAGATTAGTATCATTTTGGTTTGAATATGGTATCTTGGTAGGTCTGTAGAAAACTCATGTGCTTTCTCGGTCTGACTTGAGAATCATATCCTGTTTTTGAGCAAATAATGGTTTGAGTGGCTTCGACATCCCTTGGATCTGTACTTGATGTGTCTTTGTGGTTTCTTTGCTGTTATAGATGTCCTTTGATTGGAGATATCTAACTTTTCTTGGATTCTGGTTTTTGTGACTTTCATATTTATTGCCTATGGAATGTGATCTCCTTGGTTGGTGTTTTGGTTGTTGTAGCTGTGTGTCTTTTCTTTGTTTTTCAGTTTCTTTTATTCTTGGGATTGGTACACCTTGTGCCTTTCTTTTTCGGGTACTTTGGCCATTAGTTCCTTATTCCTATATATATATATATATATATATATATATATATATATATATATATATATATATATATATATATATATATATATATATATATATATATATATATATATATATATATATATATATATATATATATTTCTATTTTCCTTTAAAAAAACATCTCAGTTAATCGAAGCTACACTTTATAAATACCTAAACAATAGACAAGCATGTTTCAGGGTATACACTAAAAAAAAATGAGTATCATCTAAGGTTGAAGTGTTCAAGACTGAAGTAAAACAAATAAAAATAGTTTCATGAATTTTAGCCTTAGTGATAAGGCTAACACTAAGAAGCCTTAACCTGCATCCAACAAGTCTAGTGATAAGACGAACAGTTAGTAATCTAATTACAAACAAATTTTCAACTATTAAGATCTAATAGCCATTGCCTATCATTAACCAATTATTAAACTTTCAATGTAATTTAGAAAGTCATGCGTAGAATTTTCAAGTTATGATAATAACTAGATAAACTTGAACATTATTAAAGTTGTGCTTATCATGAACTTACCATAATATTCTTTGCTGGATACTAAATTAATTATACGTTGGTGAAGTCTCTAATCATAGAATGGAGGTCGCTAAAAAGAGCTAACTTGTAGTCAAAGAGAAATTCTCTAGATCTCAAAATCATTTGTTCAATCCCAAAGTTACTAACAAACAAACAAACAACATTAACAACAACAAATTCAACTATTAAAAAAAACCTTAAACCATGTCAATTTCTTAGTTCTAACATAATTCCTTCTATTTCCAAATACCCAGAAAAAAGGTTACATAGAAAACATTGAAATTGAAAACTTCTACCTAATATTTTATATACATGTATGAAGAAGATTCATAAGAGAATCATCGAAAGATCTAAAACCCGGGTCCTGCAATGCTGGACTCAGATGTGTTGGATGTTAGAAAAACCCAACTATTTTATGTTCTTAATTCCTCTTCTCTAGCTAATATCCAAAATTTGAACCCGTTAATGTTGTAAGCAGTATATCGCTTTGCTTTGTCCAAAGGTCCCTGTGCTAAGAATTTTAGATCATTTGAGTATGAATTGGTTGATTCTTATTTCAAAATATAAAAATTAAAGTAATTGTATTAGTTATATACGAGATTAGATCTCATGAAATGATAAAGAAAATTCGGAGTATTATATGTAACCTACAAATCTTAGAAACCAATTAGTAAAATCTCTATACATTCTTTTTTCTATATCTGTAGCTGAAGGTCTTCTTGAACTTGAACTTCTCCTTATGAACTCTCTAAATTCACTATGTTAATTAAACATATTTAAATCATTAAATGAGACTAGGATACTTAAAATATTTCATCAATAAACAAGACAAAGTTTATTAGGTTTACTCACTCAACAAAAGGTGTGACTATTGCATAATTTAGAAGAACATATCGATAAACTTTTTGCATATGAGTTAATGTGAAACCTAAGGAAACTCCTACTGGTTTACCAAGTCGAGGGAAGATGGAAGATGCAAAGGAAGATTCATTCTGATTTGAGGCATCACAAACATGTCTAGGTCTATTGAACCGTGTCGCTATATCTTCAATGTATCGAAAACAAAAAGTGAGAGACTCTTCTATTATGTAACTCTCAGCTATTGAATCTTCTGCTTGAGCCTTATTGCGTACAAAGGATTTCAAATGACCTAATTCTCTATAAAAACCTTTATAGAATTAGTGTATACAATATTGATGCACGTAACAAGATGCTTTAAACTATAAATGTAATTAACTTACCTCTCTATGCGATACATGTATCGATAATGTACCGGACCTCCAAGGTTTTCCTCCTCGATTAGATGAACACTTAAATGAACCATAATTGTGAAGAATGATGGATGGAATAACATTTCCAAATGACAAAGTGTAATAACAATACGCTCTTGGAGATTTTGAAGGTCGAAAATATTCAAATTTTTCCTACAGAGATCTCTATAAAAGGAACAAAACTCCACCAAGACTGTTGTAACATGGTTTGGAAATAAATTGTGAATTGATAAAGGTAGCAAGTGTTGAAATAAAATTTGATAATCATGACTTTTCAAATGTTACTTGAGTAACCATCTGGAAATCTAACATTTTTCAATGTGTTGAGAAATAACTTTTTTATATCACGTGTTAGTGAAAACAAAGCAAGATGATATCTCCTTTTTTCATCAGGCCAAAGATCACGTCTAATACCCATCTCTTGCAAATATTTTTGAGCATTGAGATTGTCTTTTGATTTATGCTTATCATTGAGCAAAGTATACATGACATTGTCGCATACATTTTTTTTTCAATATGCATAAAATCTAGATTATGACATAAATTAAACTCCAAATATGAAAGTTCAAAGAATATACTTCTTTAATTCCACAACTGAACCTTTTTTCTAGGTCTCTTTCTATTACTATCCAACATTTATCCTTTCCCAAATGTAACATCAAGATCTTTTATTTTCCTTAAAATGTCAGATCCTAATACTTTTTATGGCGGATTTTGTTCTTCCGTGTCACCATTAAAGCGAACTCGATTTAATCTAAATCTATGATTTCTTCTATAAAAAAAACAATGATCTGTCATAACCTAATTTTTACCCCTAAGATTCCACCTCATTTGCATCTTCACAATGCATCAAGATCATAAACTTGGTTCTCCTCTAACCCTTTCATCCTTGGGTATTCCTTTGCAGAGATCACCAAACACTTTTCTTTGTATCTTTTTCCTTTGTGTTTATATGCTTTACATGTCACCAAATACTAATTAAATATCAAAAAATATGTCTTGTATCCTTTTGTTTCTTTGCAAGGTAGGGTGCTATATCAAGAACACTAAGCATGATTCATCAACTAGGGGTTAGCTCCCTCAAGGTTAAAATATGGTCAACCATTGATTCCCAAGGGTTATTTCATCAAACCATGGCTTCTAATATCAAAGTACAAGGTTTAAAGTATCATTCAATCTCATTTTTATCAAATATATCTCAAGGTTTAGTAGCTTGTTCTTAAAGAAAAGTCAAAGGTTCATGTGTTTATTTCCATGCCTTCACCAACAAGTTACCTCAAGCTTTGGTCAATTTAATCAAAGGAAATTAAAGAACACATTATTTTGAGTTTATAGGATCATCCATATAATTTGAAATGCAAGGAAAGTCCAAGATCACAAGTTGATTCAAAGAGGTTTGACCCAAAAAAGTCAACATTGAAAGTCAAAATTCAAAGGATCCCAACTCCTTCAATTCTCAACATTTTTGAATACTTCTTTTTTCATATGACTCTTGTCAACATCGTCTTCAACTTCTTTTTACATGGCAAGAGCCAATTATCCTTGGAGGATCATCAAACGTTTGGAAACATTATAGGTCATTTGTGAACTTAGTGAAATTTTGCCTATTTTCAAGTGACTTTTTCTCAACTTTCAAGAATCACAACTTCTTCAATTTTCAATATTTGGAGCTCATTATTTTTTCACAATATCATTTTTATACCCCCTACAAGATTTCTTCAATGGTCAAAATCAAATTGTGCTTGGAAGGCCATGGAATTCATTGATACATTATAGGTTATTTTTAGCCATTTGAACTTAGAATATTTCAAGTTTGGTTTACCATATTTTTGTCCCAACTTCAACATGACATAAATTTTTTCTCAAGCATCCAAATTAACCTTTCTTGGCATATTGTGATCTTTGTTATGATGTTAACCAATTGCAAAAAGAATAGAATCAAAAAGCCTCGTGTACAAGATGCCCCATTAAGTTGAACATGGTTACTTGAAACTGAAGTTTTCACCATGATCATAATTTTTACCTCAACCAAAACTTGCTTACAAGCCAAATTACCATATGATTTGCACTCTAATCATATTAAGGGATGTTTACCAAGTGAAAACGACTCAGAATGGCCAAGTTTAGTTGTGTTTTGAGTGACCTCATGTGCAAGTTTGAACACACTTTTGGTGCTGATGACTTCACATGAATTCTGATCAAAACTCAACATGTGTGAGCTCATTCATCATCTCCTATTAATAGATACCTCATTCTAATCATTTCTCAAGCTTTTAATAGCTAGAAAACTCATGCCTCACTCTAAAATTTTCTTCAGAAATTAAACTATTGTGTTTTGAATTCTAGCTTGTTTCAACTTAATTTTCTAATTCCATTAGCTTCATCGTACTTCTCTAAAGCTTCTGAAACAAGAATCAAGCATTAAGAATCCTTGAATCGTGCTGACCAAATCCAGTTTCAGAGCTTCTCCGATCTTTTTTGGGCAAGGTAGTTTGATGCTCTATTTTCAATCAAACAAGTTAACACAATGTAGTCCTTTACCTTCTGATTATGTCCCCTAACCTAGCTGGTGTTGATAACATGTGTTCATCGTTTAATTTTTGTTTTCATGTTTGTGTTTTCTTCTGCATTTTCATGAAATTCTCTCTGCTCTCTTTCAAACAATGAAAATGGATTATAAGGTTAAGATCGCTCTGATATGACGGTTGCAATGATGGCGGTTTCGTGTCTTAATGTTACCTTTTAGAAAACTCTGGTGATTGGTTCAACAGAGAAGATGACTGGAGAGGTGAGCTGTGTGATACACGTTGACAATTTGAAATGTTTTGATTGGCTTGATTTGAATGTGATTATGTGTATTCTCTAGGATAAATTCCATCGTGTTCCCTTGCCTGAAGGCCATTAGATCTACCACGTCAATTAATGTGGCATGATATAACGCGCCTTGTTTTTTTATCTTTTTATTATTTTCTTATTTTAGTTTTTAAATTGCATTTTTATTCAAAAATTCATATTAATTTCATCTTTTATCCACACAAAAAAATCCCAAAATAATTTCTAAAATTTTCTTTTATTTTTCTCTTTTTGATTTTACATTTTTCATATTTTATTTTCATCATTTCCTATTTTTCATGATTTTTCTCTTTTTTAAAGCATTTTAAATAGTTTAAAAATAGTTTTACGCATTTTAAAATTCTCAAAAAATTTATATATCATTATTGACTTGTTTCTGACTTGCATGAATTTTCTTCACCATTTGCAATTTGATTTGAAGCATCATTTGCATTTCATCTTTCTTTTTATTTTGAAATTAATTTTAAAAATAATTTTGGTGCACTTTAATTCATATTATGGCATTTTATATTTGTTTGATTTGTGTTGACTTCTGTTGGCCTTGGAATTTAATTGATTTTGTCACAAGTTTCATCAAACTCAATGGATTTTGGGTGTTGATTGTAACAGCCCAAATTTCATTAAATAATTAATTATAGTAATTAATTGATTTAGTGGGATTTTATGTTAATATTGGAATTAATTTTTATTAATTGGAATTAATAGAGAATTGAAAGGAAATTGGAAGAAAAGAAAATAAAAGGAATATATAAGTGAGGAAGAAAAAGAAAAGAAAGTTAGAAACATTTGGAGAGAAAGAGGAAAGAAAGAAGAAAGAAGAGAAAGAGAGGAGAAGAAGAGGAAAAGTGGAAATCATCAAGAACCAACATCAAAGCTCTGATTAATCGAGGTAAGGGTGAGAAATGTTTCTATTTGATCATTGCATGATGTTATATATGTTGGGTTGGGGTTTTGGTGTAGTTTCCATCCTTTTTCATTTAGGGAAAAAGTTGGAATAATCGGTAGATTGATGATTTAATCGGTTGAAACTGAGTAATAATGCCGTAGAATAGTCGGGTAACATGTATTGATGTTATTTGTACTGATTTGGATGTTTGAGGTTTGGTTGATGATGGATTGATGAAGGAGAGGCAGAATAGGGTTCTGTTCTGCGCAGGTTCGCTGGCTCTCGCCAGGCGAAGCCTAGCGAATGTTGGCGAGTAATTATGATTAAGTTCCAGTGGACTTCGCTGGCGAGTTCGCCAAGCGAAGTTGGATAGCGAAGGTTCGCCCAACGAAGGTGCTGGCGAATGGTGGCGAATGAAGTCAGTAGCTACTGACTTGGGCTCGCTGGGAAGTCTCGCCAGGCGAAGCCTAGCGAGTGTTCGCTGAGAGAGTTCGCCAGGCGAAGGCCAGGCGAAGGTTCGCTGCGAGGGTTCGCCAGGCGAACGAAGGCGAATTTGACAGCATTTCTCTTTTGTTGTGTTGCTCATGTGGTGATAGTTTGGTGGTTTCACATAGATTGATATTCTTATGATATGATATAGATATGATCTATTGTGATGATGTGTGGTGTGGGTAGCCTCCGGGCGTGAATCCTAGTTGATATGCGATGCGCATTAATTATGATAAATAGAAATACATGTGAATACAATGATGAATGTATGTGTATTGTTTAATGAATTGTGAGTGCATATTTATATGCGATTGTTGTGGAAATGCATGGGAACATATGTGGTATGTGTGCATTGTTGTTGAGTATGATGATGATGATGTGTGAAATGAATACATTGATAAATGTTTGATATATGTTGTATGTGCAATCATGATGAAATTCTCGAAGGGGTGAATTATTCGAATGCATGGGATTAAGACGCGGGAACGGCCTTAAGTGCATTTATTGTGATTGGTTGATTGTACATGCATCATTCAGTCAAAAGGCAATGTCTGTTAGTTTCGTGGAAACTAGTGGCTTGTCCCAAACCTAGAAGGGTTGAAGCCTAGGGGACGGGCTTGGTTGTTATCGGTCTAGAAGGGTGGACCCGGTTTAAAGTAAAAACCGAAAAATGATAACGAGTTATCGGTCTAGAAGGGTGGACCCGGTTTAGAGTGAAAACCGAAAAAAGATAACGAGAGTCGGTACCGCATAGCATTGAGTTGTATTAGATATGTTGAGTCACATTGCATAATATTGTTATTGTATAAATGTGCTTGTGAATGA